CTCTTTCTTGTCACTTATTTCTTCTTTCCTTGAAGGTAAGGCGGTCTGGCTTCCCAGCAGTCTTTCTCTACCCAGTTTCCTGACGCTGTGAAGGTAGACAGAGGGACTTCCTATGGCTCTGAAAATCCAAGTACAGAGAGATTTCTCAGTGGACATGGGGGCCACACCTGTTCCACTGCCACAGCCTGCACCACCCAAGCCACTGCTGGCAGCAGTGTCCCCCACGTCATTGTAAATTGTCCTGATGTTGTGGAAGAACCTTAGGGTTATGTTCATTCTGACTGTGTGTTGTATTGGACAGAATACGTATGCTTAATAAAACAAATTTTTAAATATTTACATTTTTTCTCATAATGCCTAAACCAGGGCCAAGCACAGAGGATCAATGCTAAATAAGCTAAGAAGTAGTTATACTCATGAGGGCATTTCTAGCAACTGAGTTCATCAAGCCATTGGAAGACAAGCTTGTTTCATTTGCATTACTACACGTTAGCAGTATGCAGCAATTACATTCAGCATGGGGAGGGGACACATGTACTGAACAGATAAGCCATGCATTTATGCTGATATCCTGACCTGTCCAACCACAGAGCAGCTTGAGGACGGAGCTGTGTGAGTCTGTTTGAGGGCCCCGACCCGAGAGGAAGAGCCGAACGGTCCCACAGATGGTCATTGTCCTCCCGAATCCCGGAGCCCTGGCTGTATTCAGGAGAAAGAAGAGGTCTGGGGACCAAGGAGAACTGAGACAAGGAACAGAAGGAGCCCTGGAGGGTGGCAGAAGTAGCTCAGGCTCCGTGACCCAGGGCAGCATCAGCACCAGCACAGGTGCAGGTCGTAGTCTGTTCACATCCGGGGCTGAGCACAGGCCGCTGCCTGACTCCTCTGCACCTGTTCTGGCCCTGGCTTTGCCGCCCGCCCGCTCTGATCTGGCAGGAGTGACTGCTCCACAGTCCACGCCCCTCATTGCCAGCAGCGTGCTCTCTCCCATTTGGAAAGGGCAGGAAGGTGTGGTAAAATTCTCAGAATGGTGCCACAGTATGGAGTGTGTGGTCTGAGATGCTCACATCAAGAGCAATGGAAGAAGAAAAGGGGAAGTGTGCAGGCCATGGATGGGGAGAGTCTCAGGAAAACCGCCAGAGACGGGGAGCCAGTGCTGGGTGGAGCAGGAGCCGGCCACTGTAACGTGCACTGGGGACCCTGGCCAGCCTGAGGGCCCTGGCAATGGGCAGCCCTGCAAACTGCTCTCAAATAGAGGTGCAGGCTCTGCTTCCCAGCAATGGGAGCTCAAGGGGTGCAGGGTGATGCCAGGCACACGTGGCTTGAGGAGGGTGCTCTGCTGAGGGGCTTTTCCAGCACCAGGGACAAGGCTAGTGGCCCAAGAAGAGCATCTGTGGTCAGATGCTGTCCCAGCTCTGGGAGAGACTGCCATTGACCAAGTGCTCATGCCACAGTGACGCCCAGAACTCCCAGGAGTTACCCTGCCCTGGCTCAGCTCCAAATTTCAAATGTTGACTCACTCATGCTTTAAAACAACCCTGTAAGACAGCTACAGAGCTTTTACTGATGATTGGCCCAGTAATTGAACTTCCAGGATAATAAGAAATAACTCATCTTTTCACCTGATGTGAGACAAATTCTTGCTAAAGGCAATCTATTAGTTTCCTACTCTTCCTCCCCTTAATATGCACTTTGTGCTCTCCCCTAAAATTTACTTCCTACTTGGTTCCTGAATTTTCCTGAATTTTGGTCTTGGTTTTGACTCCCTTCCCTAACTCTATCCTTGTTGTTTGAGCTTGTTGAAGAATGAGGCTCCCGTGGTGTTTACCCTCGTCACCTGCTGTTACTGCTTGTTTCTAGATGTCTCCACAAAGCCTCAGTGCTCATAGGCTTCTCAGAACTTGACAGATCTAGGGTGTGTGGTACTCAGACTAAGGTCCCCTGATTGGAATTACTATGGAATTAGCATGGTTCCAGGTGTGGCTGAATGGATTTTACTGAAGCCTCATCTTGGGTGTGACTTTCACCACCCAGAAGTCTCATAACCTGGATGGGATAAAAGGCAAAGGGAGGCTCCCTGTGGCTGCTTTGCTGCTTCTTGCCTACCCTGCCATTGACTGTTTCTCCTTTGCATGCTGTCCTGCCTTGGAGCCTGAGGACTACGGACTGAAACTTTTACAAACTCCTAGCTGAAATAAACCTTTCCTCCTTTAACTTGTAGGGGTCTGGTATTTTGCCTCAACAATGAGAAAAGTAACCAAGACACCTGCCCTAACAACGCTTCTGTGTGCTCTGACCCCTGCTTTTCTCTGAGACCCACTTGGCCCAACGCTGCCCACTCCCCAGCCCCAGATCATTCGGCTTCTAATGTCCTTGCAGGGCAGGAATGGAACTTATTTGTATCTGTAGTAACCACTCTGGATTATTGGCTGGCACAGAGCAAGGAACCGTAGGAGTTTGCGGACTTTGAAAGGCACAGGAAGGGATGGGTGGGTGGGTGGATGAGTGGCTTGAATTAATTAAAAAGCTCAGACATGCAAGCTTAAATATCATATAGCCACAGAGTATAAAGAAATTGAAGAGCAAAATGAAAGGCAGACTGCAGGAAACAGAGACCTTGTGCAGAAGGAAAGGAACCAGGAGACGAGGCGGAGGCAGGGACGGGGATGTAAGACGAATGAAGATGTGTTGTGCCAACTCCCAGAGGGGTGCGATCATCATGTACCACAAGCGTGGACTAATACAAAAAGGGAGAAGCTCAATTAATGCTGAGCACTGCCCTTCCCTAAGTGTGATGTCTCATGAGTTGGGCCAGCGGGGTGAAACCCAAATGTATTTTACTTTATAGTCCATTTATAAAGCAAATCTTTACTTAGTGCCTACTATAAATTAGATTCTGTAATGGGTTCTGTTGGTGATGAGTGAGACTTGCCCCTGGTCCAAGGGAAGTTTACTTTGCATCAGAGCACACAGCTGTGTACACCACTGTTTTCGCCTCTCTCCCTCCGGTTTCTGACCATTCCCTTTATCTGGTCCTCCTCCCCAAATTGCTCCCAGGCCCCATCCCATCCCAAATAGTGCCCGTCATTTTGAAGAGAAAGAAATTTCTCATTCTTGGTTATTTTTTAGAAACTAAGCAAGTGGAAGGGTTTGGAGCTAGCTAAATGTCTTCGTTGGCAAGAAGGGGAACATGAAAAACTTTATTTTCTCACTGAGGAGAAACTGAAACAAACCCTCTAGCTTTGCTTGCTTTTAGTTGGCTTTATAGAAAGTCGCCAGTGCTGGAGTCACACAGCTGGACGGTGCACTACCAGTCCCCACCAACTCTGCCGCCTCTGACAGAGCCACCTCGCGGGTTAAAAAACCATTTTCACGGGAATGACCCTCCTCCGTCATCCAGGAGAAAGCAGCTTTTCCCTACCTCCCTGACCTCTGGGAAAAGTAACCTTTTGCTGTTTTCCCTGTTCTCCAGGAAAAAAAAAAAATACCTTTTGCATTCTAATAAGTGCAGAAGAACTTAAGACACACACAAGTCATAGAGTTTCTACTCGTGACTTTCCTTTAGACATACAGAACCCAGACCCTCCACTGAGGATAACAGAGGCCATGTGTAAGAAAAGCAGACCCCCAGAGCTGTGATTCCCCCTCATCCGCCATCTGAGCAGGGCCCCCACAGCTCTCTGCGCAGCCTGCTCCCACATCCCCTCAGCAGGACTGGCCCTTGCCTCTGTCTTCCCTGCTTTGCTAGTTTACCAAGTGGCTCCTTCTCCTTCCTTAACCCAATCTTCCAGCCACTGGTCTTCCCCAGGGGCCAGAAGCTAATGTGGGCTCACAGTTACCGCTGAATTGCCTGATGGTTGCTCTTGAGGCCTCTTCATGGAACTGCCGTTCTTTTGGCACAGACAGCCCAAAAGAGGGCTGGCTCCACGCTCAGAGCCAACTGACAGAAGCCCCAGGGCTGCAGCAAAGCAAGAAGACTGCTTCGGGCCAGTGTAGCCAGGGTTTTCTTGCTGTCATCCCTTTTTTCCTTTAATTGAGGCCAAGTCTAAGTGTCACAAGCCATTTGAAAGTGAACCATTCAGTGGTGTTGGATATGTTCACAGTGTCGCACAACCACCAAGCCCGTCTGCTTTGAAAATGTTTTTGTTATCCCAGAGGAAACCTGGTACCCATTAAGGAGAGAGTTCCACTTCCCTCTCCTGAGAGCGCCCAACAATCACCAAGCCACTCACTGGCACAGGAAAACCCTACATTAGGTATTGCATAGAAATGGAGTTGCATGACGGGAGTTCCATTTCTGGCTTGTTTTGCTTAGCATATCTTTGGGAATTGTGCACGTACCTTTTCGGGGGCACCAACACTTCACTCTTGACACTGAGTAATATTCATTTACAGATAGATACAGATGTCGTGTACCTGCAGTTTGTGTACCAGTTTGCTTAATCATTCATCTCTTGACTGTTGTTTCTACCTTTTGGCCGTTGTGAATTATGCTGCCACGACCATGTACACACATTTGTTTCTCATGCTTTTGGGTAGAATTCCTGGGAATGGGACTCCTGGGTTACATGATGATTCCGTGTTTAATTTTTTTGAGGGCTCACCAAACAGTTCTCCATGGTGACACTGACAATCACATCAGCAATGCACAAGAGTTCCAACTGCGCATGCTTGCCAACATTTTACATTTTCTTTACAAAGTATTATAGCTCTCCTAGAGGGTGTGAAGTGGTGCCTTTCTCCTTTCCCATTATTTTTCCTGCACTCTTGTCCCACTTTGTTTCTTGTTGGAAAGGGTTCGTTCTTCCTGATATTTGGCTCCCCTCAGGCCAACACCACCTTGCCTTCCCTAGAAAAGCTGTGGCCCTTGCACACCCCCGCCAGCCTTTGCATCTTGCAAGGGAAGCCTAAGACTGGGGTTCCAGCACCAGCCCACAGTTTCCCAGCTGGGTGACT